TGTAGTAACGTCGCAATTGTATGTTGTAAACATTACTATTTCAAATATAATGTCATTATTAACAGGAGAGAGTTTCTCACTTCCGAGACAAACCACCCCCCTCCCCCCTGCCCTCACCCTCGGTGGCAGATCTTATTTCTTTCCTCTGACCTTCACGGTGCTTTCAGAATAATCTGGCAGCTTCGGGAGCCAGGAGTGTCGAGGAGGAACACGTGGATGAAGAAGAAACTCAATGTTCTACTTCGTCGTTATTTATTTATCAAACCGTGCATCAGACTGTCATTGTTCGTTCGAAGGTTGATAGATACATGTGAAAAGAACGTATCGATCGATGATGCCTGTTGTATCCTCGATCATCGCATCAAATTCGTTCTTACGATCCAAGGACTCGTTATTACGATTCGGATGGAAAGGGATTCTGCTGCCACGTGCCCGAATTCGACGAAGTATACCAATCTGGCAAGGCATAGCTCTCGCTTTTTCCGTCGTGCGCCGTAGCATGGGAGTTGGGAAGGGGTTGGCGGTTCATCGTGAACGTTCGTTGTTGCTCGCAGGCGGTCGTGTGTGCGTTGCGCGGAACACAGGAGCTACACACACAGCAGGTATATATATATATACAGATCGTGTGTGCAGGGATCGGGAGCGAGTCGAAATACGAGTCGTAGAGCGAGATCAGAGACTGACTTTACGAAAATCGATCGGCGCTCATCGTCGTCGGGTTAGCGACGCCTGCAAAGCGTGTCCATTGCAACGACGCGGTTACGAGGAAGCACCGCTGGCCGGCTCTCCCTTTCTCTCTCTCTCTCTCTCTCTCTCTCTCTCTGTCTCTCTTTCTCTGTCCTCCCTCTCCCCCGTCTTGTTCTCTGCCTTATTCTCTCTTTCCTTGTCAGAGAACGAACCCTCCAAATGTCGAGGAAGCTTCCGCGTTCGCCGAAACGGGCAAACGTCACTTCCAGTCGGTTCGCGAAATAGTGCAACGGAGCATGGTGTTGGCGTGAACGAATACGCCAGGTCGTGACGTCGTTTTCGTCCCTTTCCTCGGGGACGCACACACTGTGGATGTCGTCGGAGCTGCAGCAAGACACTACGCGCGGCGGAAGAAGAAGGGAGAGCGTGTACGAGCTTTTCCTTCGGGAGAGTGTGCTGTGAAAGCATTTGCTTGCCTCGACGACCACGAACTCGTCGTGGTTCGCACGCTGTTCACCCTGTGACTGTGATTGTCACTCAGTGTAGTCTCAGGGGCACAGAGAAGAGAAGAAGAGTAAAAAGCGTGCCCTCCTGCCGAGTCGTTATCGCCATTGTCGCGAGCGTGTGCCGGTGTTTCAACGAAGCTCAAAGCTGAATCGACAATAATCCTCGTAGCGAACGTATCGCTCGACGCTACGACCTACTAAAGCTATAGCCACGATTCGTCGTCGTCGTCGTCGTTGTTGTTGGCTCGTTGGCACCAACCTCCTGAAGAATCGATGCGAGCGAACGAGTAAATCGAGCTGACTCTCGAAACGAGGATCGAAGAAGAAGTGCTGCCCCGATATCAAACATATATCAAGCCTCGCTCGACTCGAGGTAGAAACGAGGCAGAGGATGCGAACGAGACCAACGTGAAGAAAAAAAAAAAAAAGAAGTGGTTTGCTCAACGCGACACCACCGTGTCGTCGAGTCTGCGAAACGATCCTGGATTTCTCGATGCACGCTCTAAGCAGACAGCTACAAATAACAAGGGAAATTCGACCGAGAGGTTCGTACCGCGGCATAGTTAATCGGTGAGCGTGTCCTGCGCCCTGATCCTTTGTCATTACTCTGGACAACAAAAGAGAGAGAGAGAGAG